CACAGTCATTACACTAACTGCTGGTCTCTGTTTTCAATTTCTAAAACAAGTAATGAGGGTCCAGGACTCGAACCGCAGTCAACTACGTGGGAGTTCAGCGACACAGTCATTACACTAACTGCTGGTCTCTGTTTTCAATTTCTAAAACAAGTAATGAGGGTTTATAAAACTGTTTTAAAGGGGACAGCTTTGGGTGTGTTCCTCAACTCTCAAGTGAATATTTCTCTTTTGAGTATTTTTTTTTTTTTTTTGGGGGGGTTTTTTGCTGTAGGGTACATGTGCTCCCCAAAAAGAGAGACAAACGCCCCGGGAGGATGGCTACGTCGCAATCTCTTCTCCATTCTCCTCTTGGGATCTTGGGCACGTACACATGCCCAGTGTGAGTAACTGCTGGTTCCTCTTTTGAATATTTTAGTGTTACATTTTTCAATAGATTCTTGGGCCAGCCAAGTGGTGTGGTGGTTAAGGTAACTTGATTCCACATGGCCAACTATGCAGTTTGAGTCCTGGACCCCACAGCACAGTGTGATTTCTCACTCTTCCTCTCTCTCTCTCTCTGGTGAGCACATGCACCCCATAGCAAACTAAACAAATTTTTTTAAAAAAGATTTTTCATTAATAACTTAGTTTTATCAGGTAAGGCCACAAATGATGTGGACTGGGAAAATGTTTCCTTTTACAATTTATCACTACATGATCAATTTTTTAAAATATTTCATGAACATAATAAAAATGTCCAATAGGAAGAATGATGTCTAGGTGATATCATAGTTTCTTCTCAGTTGTCAGTATACATTGTTTATTATTTTCTAACATCTGGTGCAGTGGGTGAAACTAGGTATTATTCTAACTAAACTAGCTTCATAATTTCTCCTATTTATAAACTTTCATGGTCTTTTTCCTTTTTTATTTTATTTTATTTTATTTTTTATTTTTGCTATACAGTGCAAGCATTTGCCAGAGAGACATCAAACAAGAAATCAACCCCCTGGGGGGATGGCCACCCCACAATCCCATCTCTTCCATTCTCTTTTTGGGATTTTAGGCACACGTGCACACATGCCTGGCCTGCGTTTTAAGCTGCTGGGTCCAGGACTTAAACCGTGATCAACTATGTCACTGGGAGTCCAGTGATGTAACCACTATACCATCTGCTGGCCCCTTCCTTATCATTTTTTAAAAAGAATTATTTTATCAGGACTGGCAGGTGGTATGGTAGTTGAAGCACTAGACTCCCACATGGCCGCCTACCGTTTGAGT